AAAATAAGCACATGTTAAAATTTGTATTGAAAAATCCGCCCTAATTTATGTTTAAAAATTATTTTTCCCACTGGTCAAATAACGATCAAGCTTTTATGAATCCCTTTTGACATTACTGAATTACCATTAGTTTGCATCACATACATACAAAACACTGCTACATGTCTTTGGTAATAAATGCACTATATCATGTCAGATGTTTTGTTGACAGAACCATGGTCTTTGATAATTATTACCTTGCTGCTTTAATTGCTTTGAAAAAGAAAGTGTTAATAACTGCCCACAATGCAAATCTTTTTCTACATTACCCCTAAAGCTTGTTTTTTAGGGGTCTACTAAATTATTTTCTATGATTCCATCATTTTAATCTTCTGGGTTTGGGCTTAGGGTTGGGGGGGGGGGGGGGGGGGGGACCCCTCCACCTTAAGGGCTTTTGAAAGAGGACAAATTTAGAGTATTCCTTCAGCATTCAAATAAGTGTGATCTGTAAACCAGATGTGTGCTGAAAACTCAAGTTCTGGAACCACACAAGTCCAGAAGTGGACCAACAACCAGATCTTTCTGCCTGGGTTTAATAAGAAAATGAGTGTAGTTCAGTCATAAGACTCTATAAGCACTATGTAATATATTATGTAGGCAATGCATTAAAATGTAACTGATTTGTCTGCCCCAGATAAAACGATCAAGTTGGGGGAAAGGGCTAAAAGCAAAAAACCCCTGAAGGCTAAACCCAAAGGGGAAAAAGGGTCGCCCACGAAAGGATTTCATGACACGCTTGGGGGTACCCATATTTACCCAAATGGATTGATGGTGGAAGCAAGTCCCAAAGTGTGTTTCAAATGTCTTAATATCACAAAAACTCTGATCAGTAAACAGTATTGCAAAACATATTTATCGCAGAATTTCGTTTTAAAACTTTGGAACCTGGAAAATTACAGAAAAGGTTTCAGCCTTTATTTTCCCATATTTTTTGTATACTTCTGTTTTCACTTTTGTTGAAATGGAACTTTAAATCAAAACATACTTGTGAAAATGTATAATGGTGCTAGTCTTAGCAAAGGTATGTGTTCTTCTTCTTACTCTTCTTCTTCTTCTTCTTAGCTTTCACTGGCTAGAAGCTCCAGTGGAAAATTAATGTTGTTTATCTCCTCCTGTAATTTGGTTATGATCCAGAACTTAAGCTTGTGTGTGCACGTCCTTTTACAGAGCTGGCATATTTGTTTGCAGACTGTTGGCAGATGTACACTTGTACACTGACTTTAAATAAAACCTAGCACCCCCTAGTCTCTTCCTGGGAGGGGGGGGGGGGGTCTGTTCTTCAAAATGAAGCTCTAGAACCCACGCAGGGAGTCTTGTGTGTGTGTGTAAATATCATTTGTATCAAAATGAGCAATATTGGTATGTTTGCATTTACTTCTTCTTCTGCGTTCGATATCAGTCATGCTAAACATTGAGTCCCGTCTGGGTCACAAATAGGATTGTGCGTTTAAGGTCGCCACCGGTCCCCCATAGCTTCTCTTGCAATGTGGCTCCCTTGGGCCAGATCCAGTCTTTGCTGGGAGAGGTAAGGGAAGTACTGTAGTATGTGCTCTGGGGTTTGTCTTTCTGCTCCACAATCACAGGCAGCAGATTCTTTTATGCCTATTCTGTACAAATGTGCTCGAAGACCACAGTGTCCAGTCCGAAGTCTAAAAATTGATGTTTGTTCTTTCCTGTTGAGTTTGGTTATGCTGTCACTTTCTGGTCTGTAATCTCCATTCTGCCTTCTCCACTCACGCTTGAAAGACTGCTTTAGCGCTGTTTTGGTTTCCTTGTAGCTGTGTGGTGGATGAGGTTGTGGAAGATTACTCCCAGCTTTTGCCAACTCATCTGCTCTCTCATTTCCTTGAATACCACAGTGGGCTGGTATCCACTGCAAGACCAGTTCTGCTTCCTTGGAGAGTAAGCCAATGTTGGTCCTTAGATCAGCAATTAGTTTGTCTTGTTTTTTGCTGGATAGTGCTTGGAGAACAGACAATGAGTCACCAAGTATAACAATTGGGTGACCTCTGTGTTCTTGAGTGATGAGATGTTGGACTGCAGAGAGGAGGGCAGTTGCCTCAGCTCTGAAGTTAGTGCAGTTGTCACCTGCTGGTAGAGAGAGATTCTGCTCTACTGCAAGGGGGTTTAATGTAAATTCCACAACCCCCTTTCTGACTGCATCTGTAGCAGAGCCGTCAGTGAAAACCTGAGTCCAAGTGGTGTTTGGATACTTCTCATCAAGCATAGCAAGAGCCAGGGTTCTCTGTTGTGTCTCCGTCTGGGCATCTTTTGAAGTGATTCCTGGTACCTTTAGGACTACATTTGCTTTCTCTGGCTTGCTTGTCCATGGTTCTGGCCTAAGTTTTTCGCACAGTGCAACATCTCTTTCAAGCAGATCTTGGTGCTGTCTGTACAGTTCTCTAGCAAGGTGGTTGGGGCTCTGACGCTTCAGTCTGTTTTTTGTTCTCTCTTGAAATTTAAAATGCAGTGGGTGACTTTGAAGTCTTTTTAATTTCTCATACTGTAAAAGAGTTTTGTATTGTCTTCTGAGTTCGAGTGGTTCAGTATCGGCTATCTTTTCTATTTCTCTGATGGGGGTGGTTTTCATGGCTCCGAGAACAATCCTTAATCCCATATTCTGAACCCTGTCCAGTTTTTTCATTGTTGTCTTGGCTGCTGCAGCCCATGCAGTGGAGGCATATTCCATGACTGGCCTGACTGCTCCAGTATATACTTGTTTTAGGATTCTAGAGTTAGCGCCCCATGTGGTACCCGCTAATTTTTTCAAACTGCAAGCTTCTTGAATGCTTTTCCCTGTACTGCTTCTACATGTGACTTCCAAGTTAGTCGCGAATCAAGTGTAATGCCCAGAAAGGTAGGAGTGTCAGTCTGTGGAATGAGCTGTTTTTTAATCAAAATTTTCGATTTTTTCTTTTTGGGGGGGGGGGGGGGGGGGGGGGGAGAGAAAAAGTGATGCTGTGCTTTTGGATTTATTTAGCTTTAGACCCCACTTTTCGGTCCAGGCTTCTACATTTTCCACAGTTTTTTGTAACAGATATGAGGCTGTGGTAGTGTATTCGGAGGCTGTCCAAACTGCAAAGTCATCGGCATGTAGGGTATTAGAAACGTGCTGGTGGCAGGTTGCTGTGATATCATTAATGTAAACCAGGAACAGAATTGGTGATATAGCACTGCCCTGGGGAACTCCTCCTCTTAGTTTTGCCAGTTTGCCTATGTGTCCATCAATTCTGAATCAGGCTCTGCGTTGGAAAAGAAAGTCTTTGATCCACTTGTACATGTTGTGCACAACTCCTGCCTGTATCAGTTTTAGTTGTAGGCCTTCTTTCCAAACTGTATCAAAAGCACGAGAGAGGTCAAAAAAGACAGAAAGAACTTTCTTTTTTCCCTGGAAGGCTTGCATTTACTGATTACAGACTGTGTAGGAAGTGCAACGGAGTGGGGGTACACACAGAAACATTTGATTGTTTTGTTTGAATTCTTTATCGACAAATTGCACAAGAAGAGGAATCCATAACGCCAGATTAGCATGTGAATATATATCTTGGCATAATTGCTCTTATATATATATATATATATATTTCCCAGTTAAAGTCAGTTTTGCAGCAGACCACCTTGTGTTGCTTTTGACAGTCGTATCGAGAGCTCGCCGTTTAGAAAGCAGTGGCAAACTTCTGAATGTAAAAGTGTCTTGTAAAAAAAAATATGCTTCAGCTGGTGGTTCAGCAACATCTTGTGAAGGATACAGACTAATTTATATATATAAAGTAAAACAGTAACAGTCTTTTCCATGCCTTTCGGTGTATCATACCTTCGATCCGCAGGCGCACATCTAGCCGCTACATGATGGCAGCTCCCCATGTATGTATAAAAGTATGTCAGTGTGTGCATAGGCACCCAGCTGTTGGCCAGCATTGTTCTTAACTGGTGAAGACATTGTTGACATCAAACCAGCTAACATGGAAGAGCTGACAGAGGTCATCACAGCTGCAGAGTTCCACCCCAAGGAGTGCAGCATGTTTGTATACAGTAGTAGTAAGGGAAGCATCAGACTCTGTGACATGAGGGAAAGGGCCCTTTGTGATAAACATGCCAAATGTAAGTACATTATGCTTGATGTGTGGTCTCAGGTTTAGTGATTTAAGTGGGCATTTGTAGTGTTTCCTGGTCTGTATATAATTGACTGGCACTTCGTGACCTGTGCTCCGCGGAGCCCTAAGGTACAACTCTGCGGAGCACCTAGGAACTAGTGGTGCTGATAACAAGAAATGAATTGTCGCGACACAAACTATGACTAGTTAGCTTAGTGAAGGGAAAAGAAATTAACAGCATAAACTTGAACTTCCTACCTAGTTTTGTGTTAACTCACTTTTTCTAAGATAGTGGAGAGGGCGCCACTAGATCTTACCATGAAATAATATGATTCCCTAGCCTACCACCCCCCCCCCCCCCCCCCCCCCCCCCAACCTTTTCCCGCTGCAACAAGCATGTTGTAAAAGGGAACTAATTAGAGGTGTTTCCTTTGGAGTTGAAATGCGTCTCTACCTGAGAGGCAAGGCAAGGTACCAGCATTATGCACAGCCACATCTTTAAAACTGATGTGCACACAAACCTCAAGTTCTGGAACCAGACCAAAAAAGGCAAGCCTCACTTTTCACCAGAGTTTACAGCCGGTGAATGCTAAGAAGATGAATGTGAAATGTATCTGCCTCCCTATGTGGGTCCATAACCCCATTATTATAAATAGAAATCCTAATGGACTTTCCCAACAGTAGGATACCACTCGGACTCGCAGTTCCCCCTTTCCCTTTTTTCATACCCATAGATGTTTGAAAACAAACAACAGCTCTTCACAGTTACATAAATTATACCAGTTTGACCGTCATCATCATGTAGCAGGTTCTTTGCAGAAAGTTGCTCTCATCATCACGGTCTGCCTGAAAGAAACTTGGTCTCTCGCCAGCTCTCTCGCCTTGTGCACTTTTGTTTTCAAATAGTCACTTATATCCTGCACCCATCTTCGTGTTGTTCGACCTCCGCCCCTCATTCCTGGTCCCATACCTTCTGCTATTATTTTTTCCCACCCATCATGGGGCAGTTATGACCAAAATATTTCAGCTTCTGAGACAAGCTGCTGTGTATAGCCAATCTTCCTTGATATTTAGATGTTTTAAAGTGTCAGTATTTCTTCTCTTTGTTTTGACTGTAAAAGTATGTAAAGGATCTTCTAACACACCTTCAAGCATATTGAATATATAGGGCTAGTCCTGCACTTTATAGACCAGCACTTGATGGGTAATGTGGTCAACATCACACAGGCCGCCTTTACTTCCTAGGACTTTACCTGGTACCCATTTAGGACTGGGTCGACCTGAAGGCTGAGGTCATATATTAAATTAGTCCGACTGTATCAGGATCTGAACCCATGATAGTTGGATCTGCAGGTGAACGTCTAGTCGCTACACCACAGGAACTCGCATTTTTGCTGTACTGTTAATTTATTGTTGAACTTTTTTCCCTTCTGTCCATCTATAAGTGTTTGAGGAGCCAGAAGATCCAACAAACAGGAGCTTCTTCTCAGAGATAATATCCAGTATATCAGACGTCAAATTTAGCCACAATGGTCGGTACATGCTCACTAGGGACTACTTGTCAGTGAAAGTGTGGGACTTAAACATGGAGACCAAACCTGTGGAGACCTACCATGTCCACGAGTACCTTAGAAACAAATTGTGTTCCCTGTACGAGAATGACTGCATATTCGACAAGTTTGAGTGCTCTTGGAGTGGAGATGACAAGTAAGTAGTGTGTCATGTTTGTGTCAGTTATCTAGTCCAGGGTGGTAGAACTTCAGAATGTTTCGGCACCATAATGTCCTAGATAGCATAACATAACCCTTGACCCGTTAGGATTATGGAGGTGTATCGATGAAAGCACTAACACACAAAACCTGCTGTCTTTCCGCTGGTTAATCAAGTGTATAATAAGCCCTGTCCATTTTGTTTTGTTGTCAAGTTCTTCTTAGCCTTTACCAACACTCCATACCCACCCATGCGCACACAACACCCCCAGATGTTCCTTGACTACACTGTCAGTTTGCACTGAAAGAATACATTATGGAAACTGTTTAAATGCCAGTCAGATAACCATATATGTATTAATTACCTAATGCTTGGTGTATATTTCTTAACTCGTTCTGCCCAGTTCTGTTGCAGCTTATTTTAACTCTCTTCTGTTGCGTCAAAATAAATGTTGTGGACTGAAGAAGTTGAACAGAGGGTAGCTACTTTCATTTAAGTAATAAGTTATGTTACTTGCTGTGCTATTGTAATAACTAACTACAGCGCCCAAAAAAAAGAGAAAAACAATTATAATCTTAAGTATTTTAAGACATGTACCTTTTTAAATATAATTGTTACAAGTACTGACATAAAGTTAAGAATGAAATAAAATGTAAACATTAGCCCGTAACAGTTGGGTAGAGATTTTTGAGCATGGTGAGTCCTGCTACATCACAATAATGTTGCCAGCAAATGTAATTACTATGGTCTCAGAATCTTCTTGATTGTGATCTCAAAGCAAGATTTGTTTATGACAACATGGCTATGGGCTTGACCAATCTCTCAGAAGATTCCTATAGATGTGGGGGCAGCATTCTACTGTAGGTGTGGGACAGCATTCTCCTGTAGGTGTAGGGCAGCATTCTCCTGTAGATGTGGGGGCAGCATTCTCCTGTAGATGTGGGGCAGCATTCTCCTGTAGGTGTGGTGGCAGCATTCTCCTGTAGATGTGGGGGCAGCATTCTCCTGTAGGTGTGGGGCAGCATTCTCCTGTAGATGTGGGGGCAGCATTCTCCTGTAGATGTGGGGGCAGCATTCTCCTGTAGATGTGGGGGCAGCATTCTCCTGTAGATGTGGGGGCAGCATTCTCCTGTAGATGTGGGGGCAGCATTCTCCTGTAGATGTGGGGGCAGCATTCTCCTGTAGATGTGGGGGCAGCATTCTCCTGTAGATGTGGGGGCAGCATTCTCCTGTAGGTGTGGGGCAGCATTCTCCTGTAGGTGTGGGGCAGCATTCTCCTGTAGGTGTAGGGCAGCATTCTCCTGTAGGTGTGGGGGCAGCATTCTCCTGTAGGTGTGGGGGCAGCATTCATGATGCTGACCACACAATGTTTGACTCTTGAGATTTAAGAAAATATTGTTTTATTGTATACATCCTGAATATGTGGGAGGTGTAGTAGCTAATATGACGAATCTTGTATTTGTTATCCCTATGTGGGTTCCGGGGCTCCATTGTGAGGAAAACAAGAATAAGTCCATTGCTTCCCCAGCAAGCAATTCATAAGAATCAAATAATTGGGATGGGGTGGGGGAGGGGGGCTTCAAAGTCTGAGTGCATCTGACTGAGACGCAAGAAACCAACAATGTGCATGCAAGACAAATATTAGGAATTTCTTGGGCTGCCAGAGTAACTAACAAGGATTGCTTGAAAGAAGCTAATGAAAGAAGATCAATATATACATCTATAAGGAAAAGACAAGCACTGTTCTTTAGTCATATAATTGGGGGGGGGGGGGGCGCTTTGGAGAACATTGTGACGACTGGAAAGATCAACGGTAGAAGAGAAGAGACAGACCAAGAGATGAGGACAGATGGATTGCAACGGAGGGATTTCATCAGTGGAACTGATCCAGAGGACAAGTAACGGAGATCTGTAAAGATGCATGAATGCCTATGCCTGTTGGCAGGGCACATGATGATGGTGCAACACCTGTTCTGAAAGAAGCCTAAATTCTCAAAATAGGATAAACAACCAGAATTTTCTGCCAGAGTTTACCTCCGATAAGCGGGAAGAAGTATCTCTTAAAATAGCTAATTTTGCAAAGTTTATATCTGCTAATATTGTTGTTGCCATCAGTGACATTGTTTGCAGTTTTCTTTCTTTCAATGCATTCATTAACAGCTTTGTTTTTCTCTCTTCATTTCCAGGCATATAATGACAGGCTCATATAACAACTTCTTTAGAATGTTTGAGAGGGACACCAAGAGAGACTCCACCTTGGAGGCCTGTCGAGAAATAACCAAGCCACGAACTGTTTTAAAACCAAGAAAAGTTTCCACAGGAGGCAAAAGAAAGAAGGATGAAATTAGTGTTGATTGTTTGGATTTCAATAAGAAGATTCTTCATACAGCCTGGCATCCTTTGGAGAACATCGTTGCAATAGCTGCCACAAACAATTTATATGTGTTCTCCAGTAAAGATTAACCAGTGGCGAGTAGACATGTTGCATCATTAGTCACCAGCTTGCTGAAATACTCATCCCCTTCCAGCTTTGGTTGGGCTTAAGGGCCATGTTGTCCCATATTTCTTTGTGCTGGATCTCTGCTTAGTTCTAGATCCTGCCGTTGGTGCTGCTTCGGGTTGTGACAGTTGCCGGCCCCATAAGAGAAATTATGGAAGAAGCCCTCCCACAAGGATAGTGACTCTGCTACTGGAATGAGTTCCAGTTATGGGTCAGCTTGTATGCTGTATGCCGGTCCTGAATTCTGCCCCAGGGACGTGCTCCTTTTTTGTGAAGACTGGTGGCAATAATTCCGTGTGATGTAAACCAAAGGTTGCTTCAGTGCAGATTTTCTGGAAGATGTCTACAGCAATATTGTTGTCCTGAACTTGTTGCTGCACAAAGCAAATTGTGATAAGTAACCAGGATGCTGGACCAGTCCAAGCCTGTCTGCTTGGTGCAGTTGGGGCTCTCTGTAGGGAGCTTGATTTCTGATACACGTAAAAGGTTTGAAAAAAATTAAGGTATCACTAAAAGAGATCATGCTGCTTCGTAAAAATGAATAATTTTCTTGGTGTTTGCAGAACCACAGTAAATGGTTTTATGACAGATTTGAACAGTATTGAAGTTATGTTTCAAATGTTATGATTTTGATATTTAATGTTTCCGTTGTAGCCCAACTTTTTTAAAAAACATTTTATTTGGATGAGCAGTGTATGTATTTCTTTGTGAACTCCCTTAAAGGATTGAGCACCCACCAGAGCCTTTTAGACGACACTATGCTGTTAGAACATAATATAAGTTTGCTGAGGGTTGTGGTAACTCAGGCCAGCATAGTCACCATGTGTTCGAATCTCCCACAGGCTGGGACTTGCAAAAAACAGACCAGAACGGACAGGTCAAGTTTGCCAGGAAGTGTTTTGGGAAGTAATGGTAGAGTGTGTCTTCGTCTATATCAAAATATGAGAATAGCGCCCAATACAATTTAAGGTATGGGGCAGGTCTTTAAAAAAAAAAAACTTTTTACATGTTTGCTGTTAATTCACTGAATTCTCATGTATATTTTATTGACACCATTCTGACCAAACCTGGTTGTACATTCCGGTTGTTACACATGGGTTCACTGTACAGGTGTGTTTTTGTAAACTACTCAAATTATGCAGTGGGGGGGGGGGGGGGGGGGGGGGGGTGGTCTTTCTGAACATCATTTGAATGTTGCCATATAAGATTTTGAGTATTTTTAGAGAGAGGCAGTGTATTATCGCAAAACATTTGAGGATGCCTATATGACATCAGAGCTAGAGACGGATAAACAGCATAGCTGAAACCTGCAGGAAAATAAACATATTCCGTCAATCAAGCCACCAAATAAAGTGCAAGCTGAATACAGTAAACCACATTAGGCTAGAGCCTGGTAACAGTGATGATACAAAGAAAAAGAAAATCTACCACCTGCGACCATGGGATGGTTGGTGTGTAGGCTTGCTAACACAGTGGTCTTGTGTGTGATATCAGAACCCATACAGCCCTGAGATTTTTTGGGGGAAACAAAGGTGGCCAGGATGTGAGCTGGCCACCTTGTGCTGTCATATTTGATCACTTCACACTTGTGGTATTTGCCATACGGTTGTCGTCATTTTGTCAAATAAATGGACCCCTTGTGTATTTTAAACTGTATGATAGCAAAACGAGTGAATGTTAGACAGATTGTTGAAACATCATCTTGTACTAGATTCATTGAGAAACAGCAGTTCAGGTCATTTGACCGGCTCGTTAAAATGCAGCAACATAAAATATATACGATTGTTATAATATTTTTATCAAACAGATGTACCACTTGTAAATTGTAAACCTTTGTAAGTATGATTTTGATAGCATCTGACCTGGAATGGCTTCAAATGCAGTATGACATTGTTGTGTCCAGTGTCCTCACTGCTAAAACACATTTGGAAAGTTTGCAGCAAATTGACATTTGCTGTTGCCTTAGCTGAATAAAATAAGACTGAATTCAAGCAGGTACCCAAAAAAAAAAACCACCACACAGGGTTGTGAAATTGACACTGAAGTTGACACACAATGCTCATAGATAAGCTGGGCTATCACACTTTAGACGTTAAGAGGGACAAATAGGCAGTTAGATTCTTCTAAAGTATTGTCTGGATACATGAATGTATTTCAGGATGATTCACTTTTGATCTGAGTGGGATTCTGGTAAGAGAATGTATAACCAGATAGATTGTATAACCAGATGTTCAGTGGTTTAGGCTTCTGGTTAGAGTGTTGCACTAGCTGTTACCAACACAGACACCACTTATAGGAAGAGCAAGAGGGCACCTAGAAAAATGTTGAGAAAATAGGAATGACATTGCGCCTTGACATAAAAGGACAAAAGTCATTGCCACCCATCCAGCCAGGGCCACAAACTATTCCTCTGCATGGCATTTGACACAAATATGGAACATTGATGATGAAAGGATAAACCATAAGTGTTTATAACCATGACATTACTCAACCCCTCCACATCTTGTGAGATTTTCTGAGGAAGTTTTAGCATCTGTGAACCTCTGTGCTGTTGTGTAATTCTGCATTTATCATTAACATTGCAGTTTAGATTTGGAATGTGTGTGTTCATTTTGATAAGCTGGTGCACAGGTGCTTCAGTCGCCTTCACAATAGTCCATTAGCAAACAGCAGCTAACTACCTTGAAGTGGCTTGATAAGACTAAGACCAGGAGCATAGGGATTTTCTGCCGCTGGGCATTCAAGTGTGCTAGGTAAAGAGAAGGCTGAAGTTTAGCTGCTGCTATTTCTCTTGTCATTGAGCAACTTTGTGATTAAGTGGATATTGTAAAGGCTCTCAAGTTGACAGGGTATTTGTACAGAGAATACATACTTCGAGAGACTGATTCAGCAGGGAGTAGGTAGAGGGACTGGATACCTTGCAACACATCGATAAAAAGGCAGGGGTCTTTTAATCATGTTGGAGCTGGCATCATTGGTTTAGGAACTCATTGGCTGCTGAGGAGGGGGACAGGATGTGTATGAATGTCCCAAGTGCAGTGATGTCAGTTCTTGATTCATTGATTTATTCATTCATCATTCATTCAGCTGTGTGCCAGAAACCTGCTGCTAGCGCTGTGTTTGGAGTATTTTTATGTTAATATGTGTATGTGCTTATGAAAGGGAAATATCACAAAGATGCATGTGAAAGAACAATACACAAGAATGCAAGCTGGCATAGAATGATCCCACAACTCAGCGTGAATGGGATCAAGAATAAATCAGCTAACTTGTTTAAGGATGCTGTCAGCATATGCTGAAAAGTATCCATGCTTCAGGCTATTTGCTACTGTTTTTTTTTTTTTTTACATTCACTAAGTTTTATATATATGTGTTTATTCCATCAAATCCAACTTCATTTACAAATCAGCCTTGTGTTAAGTAAAATGCCCTTAACATGCTCTGTTTTCCTAATGTTTTAGATTTTGTATTTTTGATTATATAGCCATTTTGTATCTGAAGAAGAGACCTACTGTTCCCATAATAAGAATGTCATAAGAGGCAACTTATTAGGGCTCTGACAGGGGTGGAACCAGCAGTCTGCTTATAAATAAGCCTGATCTGTAAAATGTTTGTGTGTGTGTGTGTGCAAAACTCAAGTTCTAGAGCAAGAACAAAGTCCAGAACTGGATGAACAACCAGAACTTTCTGTCAGAGAGTTTACAGCGGGTGAGCAGTTTTTACCTCCAGTCATGCTGGCCAGCGCTGGGGCATAGATTTATTTGCATCATGCTGTCCTCCATGACCATCTCTGTCCTTGCTGACCATGGAAGCCCTTTGTGGAGAGAGAAATTATGTTGATCATAACACTAGAATTGAAAGCCAAGTTTAAGAATAAATTGATCTGTCAAACTATCACCTCTTGATTACCTGGAAGTTGGCCTGTTGGTAGTTAGTTTATAGTCGATCCTGTGGTTGTCATTCACAGGATATACTACTGTTCTTTGATTGAACCGCATATATTTCTGACTCTGCATGTTTTTGCTGTGCTTTTTTTGTGTGTGCAGTTTTTACCTTCAATGGTGCTGGTCTACGCTGATGGGGGGGAGGGGGGGGGGGGTGTGTCAACTGTATTTTTTACCTTTGGAATTAGGCGTTGCCTTAGGTTTTCAATGGCATTATGTATGAGAGTTGATCACATTTTCTTTTCTTCATTTGTTACAGCAAACAGGAGCACCAAAAGAATATTTTGTTATTGTTGTAAACATACAGGGTTTTTTCAGCCCATGTTGTTGTTGTCTCTAGTATTCCCACCTGCGTCCCCCCAGTAGCGGATATTTTACCATAAAATCAGTCCTGGCAAGAAGTAGAACTAGTCACTTTCTTAATTAAACAAGCACACAAGACAAAATGGGAGTTCTGGCTAGAAGCCCTAATAAGCGTCTAAAAACATGGGCAATAGGATTACATATAACAACTTAGCTTTGTGGATGAATTCAGCTGACAGTGAAACAGCCACACTTGTTTGTAGACAAGGGCAGCAAGCTTGCGCTCTCCCTGAGTCACCACTGACAGACGTTGAGACCAGTTCTGCTTCTCATTTGGGTTGATTTTACCAGATGTTTTGGAAATATTTATCCTGTGTCTGTTGTTGTTGGTCTTTTTTAATTTAAATATCATGTATGCCTGCTGCCTGATTACCGACCGATCTTTGTTAATGTTGTCATATATACAAGCTGTTAACAGCTTGAAAGATACATTTCTATTGATACAGTAAATTACCATCTGCATTTAATTTTTCCAGCTGTTATTTATGTCTGATTGAATTGTATGAGTGTGTAATTTAATGTCTTCATTCCACCAATAATGATTTAATTGTGGATGCATCTGATAAAATGAGGACTGTTCAAATAGAGAACAACTAAACTCTACGAGTCGGATATTTCGCAAATGCTTATTTAAATTGTTTGACGTCTCTAATAAA